ATGGAGAGAGAGAGAGACCCCCCCCCCCAAAAAAACGGGGAAATCGGAAATCGGGAGTGTGAAAAATGGGGAGGAAAATGCTTAAAAAGGGGGAGGAAAATGCCTAAAAAAGGGAAAAAAATCCCTAAAAAAAAGTTCTTTTGGGGAGAGAAATCCTAAAAAAAATTGGGGGGGGGGAATAAAAGGGGGAGGGGAAAGGGAAAATGTGGGGGAAAAAAAGGGGGGGGGGAAAGGGAAAAACCCCCCCCCCCCATCCCAGGGAAATTTGGGATTGAAAAATGGGGAGGAAAATGCCTAAAAAAGGGAAAAAAATCCCTAAAAAAAGTCACTTTAGGGGGAGAAATAAACCCTAAAAAATAAGGTTGGGGGGAGGAAATCCTAAAAAAATTTGGGGGGGGATCCTAAAAAGGGGGAGGGGGGATGGAGAGAGAGACCCCCCCCCCACGGGGAAATTGGGAGTGTGAAAAATGGGGAAAATCCCTTAAAAAAATCATTTTAGGGGGAGAAATGAACCATAAAATAAAGGTTTGGGGGGGAGAAATCCTAAAAAAAATTTGGGGGGATTCTAAAAATTTGGAGGGGGGGGGAAATTTGGGATGGGGAGGGAAAATCCTGAAAAAAGGAGAAGAAAAATTCCTAAAAAAGGGGAAAATTCCTTAAAAAGTCCTTTGGGACAGGGAACGAATCCTAAAAAAATTTGGGGGGGGGAATCCTAAAAAAGGGAGAAAAAAATCTTTAAACAGTCCTGAGGGGGTGGTCCTAAAAAATGGCCCCAAAATGCCCAAAATGGCCCCAAAATTGCCCAAAAGGTCCCAAAATGCCCCAAAACGGCCCCAAAATGTCCCAAAAGGTCCCAAAATGCCCCAAATGCCCCCAAAATGGCCCCAAAAGGTCCCAAAATGGCACCAAAGGTCCCAAAATGCCCCAAAAATGGCCCAAAATGGCCCAAAAGCTCCCAAAATTGGCCCAAAATGACCCAAAAGGTTCCAAAATGCCCCAAAAGGGCCCCAAAAGGTCCCAAAATGCCCCAAAATTGCCCAAAATGTCCCCAAATGGCCCCAAATGTCCCCAAAATGTCTCAAAATGTCCCAAAAGGTCCCAAATTGCCCCAACCGCCCCAACCGCCGTGTGCCCCCGGTGTCGTTGCAGGTGCGGCCGGAGCCGGCGACAGGAGGGGACACGGAGGGGACACCTGGGGGGAGGGGCCGGGGGGACAGGGGGGACACAGCTGAGTGACACACCTGGGACACACCTGGGACAGTGGGACACACCTGGGACAGGGAGAGTGGTCCCAAAATGCCCCAAAACGGCCCCAAAATGTCCCAAAAGGTCCCAAAATGCCCCAAATGCCCCCAAAATGGCCCCAAAAGGTCCCAAAATGGCACCAAAGGTCCCAAAATGCCCCAAAAATGGCCCAAAATGGCCCAAAAGCTCCCAAAATTGGCCCAAAATGACCCAAAAGGTTCCAAAATGCCCCAAAAGGGCCCCAAAAGGTCCCAAAATGCCCCAAAATTGCCCAAAATGTCCCCAAATGGCCCCAAATGTCCCCAAAATGTCTCAAAATGTCCCAAAAGGTCCCAAATTGCCCCAACCGCCCCAACCGCCGTGTGCCCCCGGTGTCGTTGCAGGTGCGGCCGGAGCCGGCGGCGAAAGGAGGGGACACGGAGGGGACACCTGGGGGGAGGGGCCGGGGGGACAGCGGGGACACAGCTGAGTGACACACCTGGGACACACCTGGGACAGTGAGAGTGACACCTGGGACAGTGGGACACAGCTGGGACACACCTGAGTGACACACCTGGGACAGTGACACACCTGGGACACAGCTGAGTGAGGGAGTGAGTGAGTGACACACCTGGGACACACCTGGGACAGTGACACACCTGGGACAGTGGGACACAGCTGAGTGACACACCTGGGACACACCTGGGACAGTGAGAGTGACACCTGGGACAGTGGGACACAGCTGGGACACACCTGGGACACACCTGAGTGACACACCTGGGACAGTGGGACACAGCTGGGACACAGCTGAGTGAGGGAGTGAGTGAGTGACACACCTGGGACACACCTGGGACAGTGACACCTGGGACAGTGAGTGTGACACACCTGGGACACACCTGGGACAGTGACAGTGACACCTGGGACAGTGAGTGTGACACACCTGGGACACAGCTGTGAGTGACACACCCGTGACAGTGTGTGTGCCACCTGTGACACACCCATGACAGTGAGTGTGCCACACCTGTGACACCTGTGACAGTGACACACGTGTGACCCCAGACGCACCTGGGATACAGCTGTGTGACACACCTGTGACACGCCTGTGAGTGTGGCACCTGTGACACGCCTGGGGGTGCTGCACAACCCCTGGCGACGGGCAGTGGCACACGCGGGTGACAACGCGTGACACGTGTCCGAGTGGGCGTCACCCGTGTCCCCGGGCTTGTCACACCTGTCCTTGTCACACCTGCCCAGGTGTGTCACACCCGTGCTTCAACACAGCTGTCCCCAAGTGTCACACCCGTCCCCAGGTGTGTCCCCAGGTGTGTCCCCAGGTGTGTCCCCAAGAGTCACAGCTGTCCCTGTCTGTGTCACACCCGTCCCCAGGTGTGTCCCAGGTGTGTCCCTGTCCCCAGGTGTGTCCCCAAGTGTCCCACCCGTCCCCAGGTGTGTCCCTGTCCCCAGGTGTGTCCCCTCCCCCGTTCCTCGCTCTCTGCGCTGCCGTTTGTGGCGGGAGGGGACACGTGAGGGGGCGTGGCCTTGGCA